CTTGAGCTTCCGCTCTCGTCTCTGGAATTGCTGTCCGTTTGTGGGTAGCTCTTAAAGAGCGCGCTGCTTAAGGCAGGCATTCTTTACCAGTTGAGCTAAACTTGTTTGGTTTAAGAGATGCTTAAGGGAGTACTTTTGGTTTAAGGTTTAGATTATCGGGACAATAGTTTTAAAGGTTCATCCAGCTACCAGAGCTCCAGAAAGCTTGAATTCCAAGAGAGTTAAAAAATTCTATTTTGCGAGAGAAAGCTGGCGGTGGAGGTGAGCGGGGCGGGGGGCGGTGCAGCTTTGCGGGGATCGGCCTGAGAAACCAGCAGTTGGAGGAGGTGACCCGCAGACAGCGCAAGAGGCCGGGGGAAGGAACTGAGACAGTCTGAGTCAGGGTCGCGAGAAGGCCCTGAAGACTGAGGGGGAAGAAACAGGCGGGACGCCGCAAGCCGAGGGGAGGGAGCCCCAGCTGACCGAGGGGAGGGGTCTGAAGTCCTAAGGCGGAGGACTCCCCACATCCCTGGGAGAACTTCGGTAGGGCGCACAGGATTGGTCTGCCGAAGTCATATACCGTGGAGGCGACCCTCAGCGTGAGGGAGGACCCCACGGAACAACCCGAGGGACTCAGTGGGGAGCAGGAAAGAGGCTCCACAGACCGAGGTCCGGCTTGAAAGGATAGATCAGAAGCCTGAGGGGGGGGGTGCGGGGGCAACCAAAAAATGTAGGAAGGATATGATGGTAGAACCTATAGAGAAGGAGGATGGAAGGAGGGGCCCCCAGAAACTGAGGGAGAAGCTGAGGAGAGCCTTAGTCTGAAGGTGGCCCCCTGGTGGAAGGGCTAAGGTATGCTGAAAGGAGGCTGGAGTGGCCCCTTGCTGGACATTAATGAAGGGCCAGAGCAGCTAAGATGGGGAGTGACTTGGAAGGTGAGCAGGGCCCAGTGGGCCACTTTTCAAGATCTGCTGGTGAGAAGGTGCTAGCTGCCATCCAGGTGGCCCTGGTGACTTCTTTCCTATCCTTTAAGATTCAGTGCACAAGTCACTCCTTCGAGTGTGCCCTCACTAGAAATATGACCCGGAAGCCACCCAACCTCTTATGGGGCTCCCAGAGCACTGCACCTGGGTACCCCACTGCCATCCAGTCCGTTCAGACACAGCAATCCTATACAGGGTTTCAGAGACTGCGAATCTTTCAGAGTGCAGACAGCCTCATCACTCTCCAAGAGATCATGAACAGGAGGTATTTTTATGGTCCATTGAGGGGAAGGTTAGACTTGGGTCTCTTGCAGCTTACAATATTAATTTTGCAGAAATTTCTCTTGCCCTTCCCTTCACACTGTGAACATTTTCAGCTCCTTGTTTTATAAAATAGTTGAGTTACTAAAAAAAAACACGTCTAGGTGACAAAACATTTTCTTGATGACATATTTCAGAATCTTTGAATACAATGGGGTATCATGGAGTCCTTTAGTGCAAATGCTAAACAAATGCCTTTGGTTGCTAACTGCAAGGTTGGAGGTTTGAGTCCATCCAGAGGTGCCTTGAAGAAAGACCTGATGATCTATTTTCAAAAATTCAGCCCTTGAAAGGGGGGGAGGGAATATTCTCACTATCATACTATTTACTAGTTCTTCGCCAAAACCAAACCTGTTGCCACTGAGTTACCTCTGATTCATAGTGACCCCATAGACAGAGTAGCACTGCCCCATAGAGTTTCCAAGCCTTTATAGAAGCAGGCTACTCATCTTTCACCTGGGGAGTAACTGGTGTGTTCAAACCACCAACCTTTTTGGTAGTAACCCAATGTTTGACCACTGGGCCAATCCCCCCAAATACCATCAAGTTGCATTCAACTCATTGTATCCCTATTCGGAGTAGATTGAGCCTCAGAAAACCTCATCTTTCTCCCAAGGACTGACTGGTAGAGTCCAACTGCTGACCTTGCTGTTAGCAAGCAGCCCAACACATAACCCACTACACCACCAGGACTCTTCACCAGGGGCAATCATAAGGTCCTGGTTGAATTCTAATCTTTATTATTACAAAGCATGAGATACATTATTAGTTGCAAGAATCAAAGGAGGTAATTGCAACTGATTCATTCATAAGCTTCCTTTTAGCTCTGTATTTAATCATTCTCATAAATTATTTCTTATCTTATTACAGAACATTAGAATTTGTGGTTATCTTCTGACTCCTAGTTTTGCATAATTTGCAATTTACGGAAGATGATCAGAAACAAAAAAAAAAGAATACGGTAGAAAGGTACAAAGGGTGGTTGAATATGGCATAACAGCTTTTTTTTTAAGGAAACCAGAATATATCTTCATATCACTTTTGAATAATTTTTTAAATTATGAATTAGGTAGAGGAGAATTAATCCACTTTAAAGTGCCCTCCCCTATCACTGTCTTGAATAAAAATTCCTATTGCTTTATGGTTCACAGTGTGAAAATGTTCTTTCTACTTTTTCATATTACTGTGTATAATACCATAGAAGAGAATGATTAAAATATTAAGTGAAATAGTGTAATTCTCATGACTACCTTTAAAGGAGTCCCTGGTGGTTCACATGGTTAAGCGTCAGCTTCAAATGGAAGGTTGGAGGTTTGAGTCTACCTACAGGTGCCTTGGAAGAAAGACCTGGTGATTTACTTCTGGAAAACGAGCCATTGAAGACCCTGTGAAGCACAATTAGACTATGATACACATAGGGTTGTCATGAGTCAGCATGAAGTCCCTAACTAGTTTTTTACTGGTGGACTGATTTTAAATGTGTATTATTTGTTTTTAATAAGGCAAGATATGAACCGGTATTAACTATACAAAAGACTATAGAGGAAAAAGAACAAGTCTGCCTTTCCCTCCCCACCTCCCATTCTAGAATAACCTGCTGCCATCAATTGAATGAAAGCAGACCACACTCATAAGGAGATCTCACCATAGGAAGATTAGTGGGTCTAAACTGTAGCATAGGAGAAAGAACCTGTGGTGCTGAAGGAAGAAATTGAAGCTGCACTGAATGCATGAGCCAAACACAAGGCTCCAGGAAGTGATGGAATACCCATTGAAATGTTTCAGAAAGCTGAAGAAGCCCTGGAAGTGCTCATCTAGGCCAGGAAATTTGGAAGATAGCTACCTGGCCAACTGACTGGAAGAGATCCATATCTGTGCCCATTCCAAAGAAAGGTGACCTAACAATGCTCAAACTATAAAATATCATTGATAAAGCACACAAGTAAAATTTTGCATAAAATCGTCCAACAATGGTTGTGGCAGTACATTGACAGGGTTCAAGTTGGGTTCAGAAGAGGATGGCATGGACCTATGGCTATCATAACTGATGTCAGATTGATCTTGGCTCAAGGCAGAGATTACCAGAAAGATGTTTACTTGTATTTTATTGACCGTGCTAAAGCATTCAACTGAGTGGGCCATAACTAACTGAATAACCTTGAGAACAACAGAAATTCCATAACACTTCATTGTGTTTACTCAGAGACAATTGTCCAAACAGAACAAGGGAAAACTGCTAGTTTTACAATCAGGAGAGGTGTGTGTCAGGGTTGTAGCCTCTCACCATACTTGTTCAATCCATGTGCTGAGCAAATCAGAGAAATGGGACCATGTGAAGAAGAGTGCAGCCTCAGGATTGGTGGAAGGCTTATTAACCCGGGGTATGCAGATGACACACCTTGCTTGCTGAAAGCGAGAAGGGCTTGGAGGACTTGATGATGCAGATCAAGGATTGCAGCCTTCAGTATGGATTATAACTCAATGTAAAAAGAAGACCCAAATCTCACAACTAGACCAATAGGGTAACGTCATGATAAATGGAGAAAATGTTGAAATTGTCAAGGATTTTGTCTTACTTGGATCTACAATCAATGCTCATAGACGCAACAGTCAAGAGATCAAAAGACATATTGCAAAAAAAAAAAAAAGACATATTGCACTAAGTAAATCCTGTTGCACAAGAAATGCAAGGATGTTACTTGAAGGACTAAGAGGTGCCTGAATCAAGCCATGGTATTCTCCATTCCCTCATCTGCATGTGAAAGTTGGACGTTGAATAAGGAAGACCAAAGAAGAATCAATGCATTTGAATGGTGGTGCTGGAGAAGAACATTGAAAGTACCATGGACTGCTAAAAGGACCAACTGATCTGTCTTTGTAGAAGTAAGACCAGCGTGCACCTTAGAGTCAAAGATGGCAAGACTTTACTTACATATTTTGGACATGTTGTCAGGAGAGACCAGTCCTTGGGGAAGGACATCAGGCTTGGTAAAGTGGAGGGGCAGCGAAAAAGAGGACGGCCCTGGAGGAAATGGATTGACAAGGTGGCTGCATCAGTGGGTTCAGGCATAGGAACCATTGTGAGGATGGCACAGGACCCGGAAGTGTTCCGTTCTGTTGTGCATAGAGTTGCTATGGGTCAGAGCTAACTCGATGGCACCTGACAACAAC